TGACTCTTATTCTCTATCTTTGCTGTGTTTCCCTTTGCTTTTGCTTCATTCTTAGCAGATCTTTCCCTCCAGGACAAACAGCCATGGCCACCAGCAGCTCCTGGAGACCATTCCACTGGCTCAGCAGCCCCAGCAGAACAAATATGTCTCTCACCCAAAAATTCCAGCAAAGGTCTCACATGAATTCTCACTGACTTGGCTTGGGTCCCAGGCTCTCCCGCCTAACCAGTGTGATATTCTGATTCTAGGCAGGGGAGAAAGCAAGGGAATTCAGAGAAAATCTACTTCTGCTTCATTGACTACACTAAAGCCTCTGACTATGTGGATCACAACATGCTGTGGAAAATTCTTAAAGAGCTGGGAATACCAGACCACCTTACCTGTCTCCTGAGAAACCTGTATACAGGTCAAGAAGCAACAGTTAGAACTGGACATGGAACAATGGACTGGTTCAAAATTGAGAAAGAAGTAAAACAACCCTGTATATTGTCACCCTGCTTATTTAACTCATATACAGAGTATATCATGTGAAACCCCAGGCGGGATGAATCACAAGCTGGAATTAAGGTTTCCAGGAGAAATAGCAAGAATCTCAGATATGCAGATGATAGCACTCTAATAGCAGAAAGTGAAGAGGAACTAAAGAGGTTCTTGATGAGAGTGAAGTGAGTGAGTGAAGTCGCTCAATCATGTCTGACTCTGCGACCTCATGGACTGGAGCCCACCAGGCTCCTCTGTCCATAGGATTTTCCAGGCAAGAGTACTGGAGTGGGTTGCCATTTACTTCTCCAGGGGATCTTCCTGACCCAGGGATCGAACCCAGGTCTTCTGCGTTGCAGGCAGACGCTTTGCCATCTGAGCCACCAGGGAAGCCCTGGTAAGGCCCCTGATGAGGGTAAAAAAGGAGTGAAAAAGTTGGCTTAAAACTCAACATTCAAAAATCTAAGATCATGGCATCCAGTCTCATCACTTCATGACAAATAGATGGGGAAAAAGTGGAAACAGTGACACATTTTATTTTCTTGGGATCCAAAATCACTGCAGATGGTTACTAAAGCCACAAAATTAAAAGCTATTTGCTCCTTGGAAGGAAAGCTATGACAAACTCAGACAGCATATTAAAAAGAAAAGACATTACTTTGCAGACAAAGGTTCATATAATCAAAGCTATGGTTTTTCCAGTAGTCATGCACAGATGTGAGAGTTGAACCATAAGTAAGGCTGAGCACCCAAGAATTGATGTTTTTAAATTGTGGAGCTGTAGAAGACCCTTGAGAGGCCCTTGGACAGCAAGTAGATCAAACCAGTCAATCCTAAAGGAAATCAACCCTGAACATTCACTAGAAGGACTGATGCTGAAGCTGAAGCTCTAATACTTTGGCTACCTGACACGAAGAACTGACTTATTGGAAAAGTCCTTGACACTGGGAAAAATTGAAAGCAAAAGGAGAAGGGGACAGCAGAAGATAAGATGGTTAGATAGCATCACCAACTAAACAGGCATGAATCTGAGCAAACTCTGGGAGATAGTCAAGTACAGGGAAGCCTGGTGAGCTGCAGTCCACGGGATCACAAAGAGTCAGACATGAATTTGTGACTGAACAACAACTTGAATCCACTACTGCCTCCAAGGGTGAATCTCCCCTACAAAGTTTGGGTGTCCTCTGACCATGGGAGAAACAACGGTATGAGATGGGGGACAGAAGTGCTGTGAGCTGAGGGAAAAAAAAGTAGTCCAGTGTCCCTGCCCATCTATGGGTAGGGATGGCTGAAGACATTCAGTGGGCTCAGGTGAGGGACTATTACCAATTTCTATAGAACAATTTCAATATTTTAATAACCAGTACTGCTGTACACACCATTCAGATTATCAGCCTGTTGATATATATTGATTTAAATTTATCACACTAGTTGTGTTATTTATAATACCTATTCTGCATTGGCTTTTCTCCTTTTGTCTTCTCTTATTATTTCTATTTTTCTCTTATCACCTTTAAGTACTACATTCCACTCCTATTTTTAGTAATTACCATAGATATTACCTTTAATTATTCTTTAATTCTTTAATTTTCATTTTTAACTTTTTGAAGCCTATTAATAATCAATATATTGACTTTCCTCTCTGATAATACAAGGGCCTCAAAATATCTTAATTCTATTTAACCCCAGAATCTACTTACTGTGGTATATTTTAATCCTTCATATATTTTTCAAATCCACAAGATATTATTACTACTACTGTTTTTTGAAGATAACATTTATTAACAGTTCCACCTTCTTTGCTCTTCACGTCTTCTTGCTGCTTTATGTTATATGTCATTTTCTTTTTACTTGAAGTACATACTTTACAATTTCTCTCAGTGAGGTCTTCATGAATATCTTTATTTTGCCTTATTTTGTAAATACTTTCACTTCATTAACACCTTTTCAATGCTGTTTAATATGTCATTAAACACAACACTTCTAGTAATGTTGGTTATTGTAGTTTTCCTTTCTAGAAATTCTTTTTGATTTTAATAAAACTTGTTCTGTCATTTTTTATAGTTTCCTATTCCTTGCAGACATTTTCCAATCTGATTTTTTTCAACTTAATATGTAGGATTTTTTTCTTTTAAGAATGTGGGTCTGATCATTCCAATATATAGTGTCTTTGAGGGTATCTTTCTGCTGTCTATATTTCCTGTTTCTTCTCATTCATGGTGTCTGTGCCTTATTATTTTTTACTACGTGCTAGCCATTATACATGGAGAAGGCAATGGCATCGCACTCCAGTACTCTTGCCTGGAAAATCCCATGAATGGAGGAGCTTGGTAGGCTGCAGTCCATGGGGTTGCTAAGAATTGGACACGACTAAGCAACTTTACTTTCACTTTTTCACTTTCATGCATTGGAGAAGGAAATGGCAACCCACTCCAGTGTTCTTGCCTGGAGAATCCCAGGGATGGGGGAGCCTGATGGGCTGCCGTCTATGGGGTCACACAGAGTTGGACACGACTGAAGTGACTTAGCAGCAGCAGCAGCAGCAGCCATTATACAAAAAATTATCTGAATAATTATTTGAAGTCTAGGATGAAAGTGCCTTCCACTACAAAGGATTTGCTTTTACTTCTTGCATGTCTGGGATTACCATAAATTAAGATTAATGCTTGAGGTTCCCTGGAAGGTCAATCAAAGTGCAATTCAAGCTGCAGTGACTTGTGAGGATTCATATACCTATGGTTCACATTTACCTTGAGATGTAGTTCTTTGAGGTCTCAGCTTCTCTTGGGGAGGCCCTACCATTACATCCTAAGTAACCCTGGTTATTGATTTCTTTCTCCCTTGCCTCTGCTAGACCATCAAAACCAATTTTCAAGTTTGTTGAACTTAGCAATACTCACAGGGAAAATGAAGCTTTTGCACTCATTTCTCTCTCTGGATTTCCACTTCCCCATCATTCTCCTCCTGGCAAGTTCTTACTACCATGTCATCTCCTTGATGGCTTTGAAGGCATCATTATTTACAACCAGCTTTGAAGCTGTTTTCAGATAATCTAGAATTGGTCTACCATTATTGGAAATAGGAAGCCATGGAATGTCTTCCTCGGCACACAGCATGTGCTCAGTAAATGATGGCTGAATTAGTTGAATTACCATAATTTCCTAAACATACTCCCTTTTTTTTGTTTGTACAAAGACTGTTGGTTTGTACAAGAACTGTTTCCTATTCTTAAAACACATAGAAAAAAAACACACACATAGAATGCCCATATTCTACCATCTAACAAGTATTAGAACAAATACCACATTTTTCTCAAATTTATTCCTGTTGTCTCTACTTTCCCAAATATGAATCCTATTTCTTCTCCATCTAAATCCTCACAAGACCTGGTCTGTATCATTCTCTGGGTACTTAACTAGATAGAAATGCCTTAATATGCTCTTCTGGTCAAGGCTATGGTTTTTCCAGTGGTCATGTATGGATGTGAGAGTTGGACTGTGAAGAAAGCTGAGCACCGAAAAATTGATGCTTTTGAACTACAGTGTTGGAGAAGACTCTTGAGAGTCCCTTGGACTGCAAGGAGATCCAACCAGTCCATCCTGAAGGAGATCAGTCCTGGGTGCTCATTGGAGGGACTGATGCTGAAGCTGAAACTCCAGTACTTTGGCCAACTCATACGAAGAGTTGACTCATTGGAAAAGACCCTGATGCTGGGAGGGATTGGGGGCAGAAGGAGAAGGGGACGACAGAGGATGAGATGGCTGGATGGCATCACTGACTCGATGGGCATGAGTTTGAGTAAACTCTGGGAGTTGGTGATGGACAGGGAGGCCTGGCGTGCTGCGACTCATGGGGTTGCAAAGAGTCGGACATGACTGAGCAACCGAACTGAACTGAACTGAACTTATTGCTCCTCAAGATTTATACTTTCTTGACATTCCTGGGCTTCTGAAGAATTCCCTCATGTTCTGTCTAGTTCAGCATATATTACAAACAGATTTGGGTGGGTGGGTGGGAATATTATATCCAGTACTTTTAGGTGTGATGTCCTGGGAAGGGAGTCTCTGAATATTTATTCTTCCCTACTGCTGGAAGCAGGATGCAGCCTCTTTAAAAAAATGTCTTACATTTGTACAGTACTTTATAATTATTAACAATAGGGTGTTCTCACATACTTGCTTTCTACTTTCATATTCACCATCATCATGTGGCAGATGAGAATCAGGGCAAGAGAGACTAAATATTACTGAACAGAGCCACAAAGTCAGAAATAAAACCCAAATCTTCCTTCTCCAAGCCCAGGGATCATTCCAGGGTACTCAGCTGCTTCCCCATATTATTTTGTGCCATTAGTCATTAATGTGCATTAACACCTCAGGTCTTTGGAAGCATACATTCTATACATGAAAGCACATGCAGTACAAGAGTTAGGTTGCAGGCAACGAACAGAGGAGCTGGCTCTGGAAGGTACTTCATACACACCTCTGAAGTGAAGGTTTTCTGCACTTGGTCTTCCTTACCTTACAACCTTGGTTCCATTTCTCATGACTTGCATGTCCACCATACAGCCCCCAGTAACATAGGCGGCTAGATTCAACTCTGAGAATTCAGCCTAAAAAGAGAAAGCAAAACAATAAGGATTCACAAGGTACTAGGGATGCCAATGACTCATAACATTTCTATGTGCCAAACATACATTTAAATCTCATGTGAAAGATGAAGATGCTGAGACACAGAGAGGCATGGTGACATGTCCAGGGTTACATCACTACTAATTTCTACCTCCTTGAAGGTGGAAGAAGGTACTCTAAATCGAGGGGAGCGGACAGGCAGGGGGAGAGAGAGATAGGAGGTAATGGTGTAGAGGAGCTCCACAGTTACCAAGAGAGGGGCAGAGACGAGATATAAGCAGTATTCTTTATTTGGGTCCCCACTAAGGAGTATTCTTCATGTTTATGTGCCAACTACAGTGCCGCATATGTGTTTTATTAGACATTTCTGTATCCTTCTAAGTTCATCTTTTTGTTGGCTTATTTGGTTGCACAAGCTTAAAAAATTTCTGTTGCTATTCCTATGGAATGTGTGTATGCTAAGTAGCTTCAGTCATGTCTGACTCTGTGCAACTCCATGGACTGTAGCCTGTCAGGCTCCTCTGTCCACAGGATTCTTCAAGCAAGAATACTGGAGTGGGTTGCCATGCCCTCCTCCAAGGGATCTTTCCAGGGATTGAACCTGTGTTTCTTATGTCTCCTGCATTGGCAGATGGGTTCTTTACCACTAGAGCTACCTAGGAAGCCCTTTCCTATGGAATACATCCCTCCTACCAGATTATATGCTCCCTGGGGGTAGTGACTTAATGTTATAACCATTTCCTAGGTTTGCCATAAAAAAGTACCCCACTAGGTGGCTTAAACACAGAAAACTGCTTTGTCACAGCTGTGGAGGCTAGAAGTCCAAAATCAAGGTGTGGGCAGCACTGGTTCTTTTTGAGGGCTGTGCAAGAAGACTCTGTTGCAAGTTTTTCCACATTGGCTTGTAGATGGCCACCTTCTCTGTCTCTTATCAGTATGTTTTTCCTCTGTGCAAATCTCTGTATCCATTCTACCAGTCATATTGGATTAGGACCCACCCTACTGACTTCACTTTAACTTGGTTATCTCTGTAAAGATCCTATCTCCACATACCTGTGTCCAAATAAGGTCACATTCTGAGGCACTGGGCCTTAGGACTTTAACACATGAATTTTAAGAGACATAATTCAACCTGTAACCCCACTCGAGAAAATGCATAATACTAGACTGACTTATACAGAAACCAAGAGTTATTTCTTTGGATTTAATGAATAAAAATAACTGCTCACATACATGCAACACTCACTATGTGCCAGGTACTGTCCTAAGCATTTTATACGTATGAATTCATTTAATCCTCACACTTGTCTACATGAAAAACCAAGGCAGAGAGAGATCAAATAACCTGCACACTGTCACACAGTAGGTAGCAGAGCCAGGATTTAACCCGAGGCAGTCTGGCTCCAGCCTGTCTTTTAACTGCAGCACCCCACTGTCCCCACTGTTTAGCTAAATAAGGCATTAGGTGGACTGCAACTGGGAATTTTAGGGACCTAAAAATAAACCACTCAAAGAGAAAAACAAGCTTACATTGAAGGGAAATATCATTTCATGGTGATTTAAATGTATTCCCTTAGAATCATTTACCAGAAATTATGACCAAAGACCTAGCTATCTTCCCAGATGGCATTAAAGCAGACCCAGAGTGCTTGTGTCTCTTGTTTTAATTAACAACCTCATTATGCTGTGGAAAGGTGAAAAGCCAAGAGCTCTGTTAATGAGGCCAGGTTGGTAAACAGTGGTAATGACCCAGTTATTAAATCTAATGCCTTAAAAATTCAGCCCATCATGTTCAAGACATTTCATTGGTAAGATTACAAAGAAGAATTAGCAAGAAAAGTTGTTGCTTGTGTGGAGAAAAAGAAGTTACAACACAGAATTGCTGGGCACAAGATATATGAAGGAAAGGGGTGAGTCAGAATATTGGATGGTAAAATCTCCAACTAGATGGCAAAGACCCAGGGGCTATCTTGCTGCTCAAATGGAAAGAGAAATACCTGGATAGAAGAAACCCTCGGGCTTGGATATACGAGTCAGAAGTTCATCTGGTTCAGATCTGAGTGTCTGAAGCTGTCTCCTAGTCATAGTTTATGAGTAATCATAGAAGGTAGATTCCTGGGTTACAGGGCAGCAAGCCTCTGCTTGATCAAGCACAGAGAGCTGGAGTAGCAAAGAAAGAGCACTTTCCCATATTTCTCTTTCTAAAAACTTCAACACCCATGGAAATGAACATAGACATAGCCAACCATCTCTCCTTCAAGACAGCAGGATGACCCCGCTGGTAGAATCCTAAATACCAGGGCCTGGAGAGCTCTCATAGACTGTAGTGGGTTAAATTGATTCCCCTAAAAGATATGTCCAAGTCCCAACCCTTGATACCTGTGAATGTGACTGTGTATGGAAACAGAGTCTTTGCAGACATAATTAAGGCTCTTGGATCTTGGATGAGTGTGAACCCTAAATATAATAAGATGTATTTATAAAAGAAGAGAAGGGGAGGCAGAAGGACCCAGGAAAGAAGGCTGTATGAAGATGGAGGCAGAGACTGGAGTTAACACTGACCCAAAACCAAGGAACAAGTTACTAGAAGGTGGAAGAAGCAAGGAAGGACAGTCTTCAGAGGGAGTACAGATCTGCTGACACCTTGATTCCAATTTCTGGCCTCTGAGAGGATAATTTCTTTTATTTTAAGCCACCAAGTTGTAGTAATTTGTTACAATAATCCTAGGAAAGTAATAAAATAATTTTGGAAATTGGATCCAATTTTAGTATTGCATGCAAAGGCGTCAGGGTTCAAAGAATGTCAATTGGTTTAGGTAAGGCTCCTTTATCCACTTCAGCAAACACATACTTACAAGCATATATGCACACATACACAAAATAAAGCACTACTATGAGAGTCATGTTTCTGCCTTTTCTGCATAAGTTAACCTTCTGACCTCAAAAACATTTTGGTCCCAATTATTTTTAATGTGATGTCTCTTTACTATATACTAGGCATGGTGGTATAGATAAATAAATATTCAAAGAAACTACATTTAAAAGTAACTGCTCAATACCTGATGATTTTGGTCAAGTTACTGACTGCTTAGAATCTCAGTTTTGACATCTCTAAAATGGAGGCAATAATATCAGTGGTATCTAGCTTTAAAACTGTTAGTAAAGATTCAAGATAGTGTATATGAGACACCTAGCACAGAGCTGAGACATGTTACATAGGAGGAAGATCTCTGTAAACAGCTATCATTATTATATTCAAATATTTAACTGTCTTAGCAAGAGTAAATTGAAATGCATTAAAAAAACAGAAAAAGAGCAACCTTTTCAAATATTTATAACATAGACAATTTTTAAAATATTAAGGCATACAATATAAAGAGTAAAGATTTCTGCTTAAGTCCACAATGGAGTAATAGGGACTGTATTTACACTCTCATCTTAAACTTGGAAAGCCAGACAAAATACATTAATAGTTTTCAGACACTGAACAAAAGGCATTGCAGGCCTATGACCTTGCAGAAAGGAAACACATGAAATTACCTCTGTGACTGCCCTAGCTGACTGCCTGGAGGCAGTTTTCAGGCATGCGAGAATGCAATCAGTGCCCAGTAGTCTCACTAAGCTGAAGAGTCAAACGTTAGAATTCAGGGAGGCTGGAGAAGGCAGTGGCAGCCCACGCCAGGACTCTTGCCTGCAAAATCCCATGGACGGAGGAGCCTGGTGGGCTGCAGTCCGTGGGGTCACAAGGAGTTGGACACGACTGAGCGACTTCACTTTCACTTTTCACTTTCATGCGTTGGAGGAGGAAATGGCAACCCACTCCAGCATTCTTGCCTGGAGAATCCCAGGGACAGGGGAGCCTGGTGGGCAGCCGTCTGTGGGGTTGCACAGAGTTGGACACGACTGATGTGACTTAGCAGCAGCAGCAGCAGAAGTGGCTAGAATTTGCAGGGCAGAGTAAAGGAAAGCTACAACTGCACAGGAAAAGGCCTCCAGGCAGATCTGCAAGGCTTTGGCTACGTACAGATAAGAGCATGCAGGAAAGGAAACTTCTCAGGGCCAGTGACAGAACTATCAGAAAACAGTAGACTCAACACTCCAGAACACACACAGGGCTGGGGATAGTTCATGTTCTCACCAGGTAAAGTGTAAAGACTTTGTAATAAGAGTAGAGTTCTCAAAAATTTAGTAGTGGGGCTAAATGAGCCCTGGATCACAGGGTGCTTTGGATCTAGGATGACCAATTTGTCCTAGTTTACCTAGAGCTTTCTCAACTTTGCAGAAGCTCCCTTCAGGCTCAGTTTTTCAAATTTGATGAAAACTATAAAACTATAGGCCTAAGAAATTCAATGACTCCCAAGCAGAAGAAACATAAAGAAAATCATACCAGGGTACATAATAATCAGCTTACTAACAAACCAGCGATGAAAAGAAAACCTTCAAAGCAATCAGAGGGGGAAAATATACTTTATATTAAGAGAGGCAAAGAATGACAGCTGGGCTTCCCTGGTGACTCAGGGGTGAAGAATCCACCTGTCAATGCAGGAGACACAGGCTCAACTCTGATCTGGAAAGATCCCACATGATACGAAGCAACTAAGCCCATGAGTCACGACTACTGAGCCTTGCTCTGATGACTTTTTTCTTCAAAGACTTCTTAATTTGAATTAGGGTCAAGTTGTTACAGTCTGCCATGCCTATAGGCACCTCACTTTCACTCTACATTTTTCCATAAAAAGTGCATCTGTAAATACTCTCAGACTTGGAAGGAAGTCTATTTCTTTTGTGTCAGTGTAGTTCTCTGCTTCTCAAGGTGAATAATTGCCTGCAAGCCAATAGTATGAATTATGGGAGTTCATCACACACGCAGAAGTAGAATGTGTAACAATAACACATAGATGGAAATGGAAATGTACTGTTAAAAGGTCCTTACACTGTATATAAAGAGGTATAACATTATTTAAAGATCAGTTCAGTTCAG